TGAGTGCAGTTCTGAACTCGCCAGCACCCCAATAAGTGGCAATGCCGTGTGGAAAAATACACATAATTACCTAATACAGCCAGAAAACTGCAGATCCAGCATTGAGGAATGCTTCGAATACAAGTAACAAAAAGCGCAACAGAGAACTACCTTAACCCGGCAGGGATGTCTTATGCATTTTGCAAAAATTATTGTTATTCTCCACCCATTTACGGTAAAGTAACAACTGCGAACCACATTTAAAGCATTCGCGAGTCATGCATTAATTGAGACGTGCCATAGCTACGCAATGTCGTGACAGTCGAATGTTGATACTGAGTCATATTTTACTTTGAAAGATGGCCTGACTAACGAAAACATCAAGGTTTCTATAAACACTTGTCTTAGACTCCACTTCTCGACAAATTCGCCCATGCTTTATGAGAGAGCATTACGGGAAAGTTATGACAAGAAAAATCTCAGTTCGCCTATCTCGTACAAAAGTATAGCATTGAATAGAAATCATTCTAAAATGGTACTTGTTGCCAAGAGCTAACCAGTTCGGCAAGGCTAAAACTCAAACCACCTTCTGAAGTTCTTCGTCCGAAATAATCATAAATTGCAAAACTCATTTTCATAGGCAGTCCCTGCGAATTGATGAGTATGCGAAATCATACAGAGCATACACAAGCACACGCACACATGCCTCCCTGTGCATCACTGTATACATTTCGTAAGAGAATAACATGGTCCCTGTATAAATGCTGTTGATTGAGTTGTTTTATGAATAACTGGTTAGCTTTTTTAGCATGTTACAAGCCCTATATTGTCATAAAAATCCGGACTTGATCTAAGGATGCTTGCCACGGATGAAAGCTGAGAACATTGTCGTCCGAAAGAGGGTGAACGTCCGAGTAAAATAAAATGATAGAAAACCAAGTAGACCTACTAATCTATTCATCATACCCTTTCAGTCGAGATCGAAGTCAAGACAACGGTGTATGTGTCATCTCCCCTCTATTATTTTGTGTAGGGTTGGAAAAAAGCAAGAGTCCACACATGCCTGGTTCGAAACCCACCATATATGCTGACATTAATTTGGCGAAAAGGTCTTCTCCGTTGCTCCGTTCTGACCCAGTTGCCTGTAGCCGGTGGGGCAGCCGCACTCTTGAACAATAGTTTTAAGCTCAGCTCTGTTCAGGTTCTTCCGATTCTGATGCTTGACCACAAGCGTTAGTCATGACTCACTTGTTTCGGCTAGTCTAGGCTGTGCATATACCACAACTGCCACAATTACTACTACTATTACTACTACTAATAATAATATCAATGCTACAGGTATTACCACCATTAACACCACCACTACTACTACTACTATCGCCATTATTATTATTACAGTTATACTTTACTATTTATCAATTTCACTACATTATTTCACTATCGCACCACTTATTCAAGTGATGCTGGGCATCATGTAAAGAGGGAATATGAATTACACTCCCCACGAATAGGGACCAAAGGGTATCAGTTAAAAAGGAGAGATTCATCTACTCACTTTTCGCAGAATAGTAACTCATAGGAGCTGTCCTGATAAGTCAATTTAGGCCTGCGAGTCAGCCGAGTTGTACCGAGTACCGTCATAAGCGTCTCAGTCCATGTCGTTCAGACGGATTACGCAAACAGTTCTACAGAATCTCAACAATCATGTCCGGACTCTCAATCTACCCCAGTGATTCCCAAACTGTGCGCCGCGAAATATTGTCAAAGCTTCAATTTGATAAAATATTAATTATTAATTTAATGTTAATAAAGTTAAAAAAAAACAATGAAGTTACACTAGTTTTATTTATTTTTATCTCTTTCTTACGAATTGTCATACTTAGCGTAGGACGCCATGGAAAAATTTTAATTGAAAAACGGCGCCGCAACTAGGAAAAGTTTGGGAACCACTAATCTAACCGCCGTGTCTGGCCAGTTGCTACTACTTCAATTGTCACAACAACCCTCACTGTTGGTTGCCACCCAACCAGTGCTGCATCCTTTTGTTGGCTGCAACTGATCAGGTCGAATGTGGAAAGATCGAGGCAATCTAAGCAAACGAACAGACATCGTCGAGTTGGGAACTTGATCCCGGGGCCCATCGTCAGGCCGAGTCCCCAGGGCGGGCTCAAGCTTGAGGGGATCGCGATGGGCCAGGCTGCGACAATCGACGGATTGGGTTGATTGACGCCTGGCGCAGACGAAGGGGACAGTCGGCAGCCCGACCGGCCGACTCTGTTTCCGCCCGTCCTACCGGTCCGCGCCACATACGAAGTACGGGCCCCCAACAAAGTGTAAACGCTCAACCAACATAACCACCGTCAGCGGCCAGTGAGTCAGAGTCAGCAGTCTACAAAATGAGGGCCATCTACAAGCCAATTTCTGCGATTTGGGCCGCCAAGTCGCGGGCCACCGGGAGGGTGTGGCAAAGCGGTTGAGCAGTGCTGTGGGCATACCCGGCCAGGACAAAAGGAGATGAGGCATTTTCTACAAAAGCAGTCGGAGAAAGTGGGCAAATCTGGAGGTCCGCAACTCTCCATTCGATGAGCCCTCCTAGTTTGATACATCTGGCGTGGAGGGTCATCAAATTGGTACACATGTTTGAATGGGATTTCTAGCCTATCAGAAGATCTTACATAAGAGCATTGTCCCATAAACCTGTGAGTTAGCTACAGAATGGCATCGCATCTCACGTGGCTTCATCTTACAAGAGAAATTCTCATCCACACTGAACTAGGCCACAGTTTCGACATCTTCTGTGTTTTGACAACTCATACAACGAGAATCCAATGCGAATTTAGATGCTGCATCAGCGGGGTTCGAGTCCGTTTTTATGTGAAAATGACACCCAGGCGGGACAGAAACTGTAGCACAGCCTGGATGGATGAATAAACTGCAATGGCATCGTAAAGTCTTTTCATGTAGCTATTAGTCCTTCTTCTGGCCCAAGTAAGTGTGGGATTAAGTAGACCTTGGTATGGAGACAATGTAACCCTTAGTGAGTTAGTGGTCTCCTTTTGTTGTTTTCACAACTTGGCCATATTGTCGGGGAAACCTGGAGGAACGCACCTTGTCCGGAGTCCATGTGATCCACGATAATTTACAGATTCAAACCGTAGATTTGGTACATTCCCTGACGTTTTACTAGCATCGTCAGTGCGCTTTATCACTCATAGCAACACAAAGAAGACAATTTTGATGCTAAAAATGGCAAGGGTGATTGATCACGATGCTAGAAAATGTCTGGTAACACAAAAAGTCCACGGTCCGACTGAAAATCATCATAGATATTCTGAACCCCGTACAATGAGCATTTTATTTTGTTGCGTTGGCAACACGACCAAGTTGCGCAACTTTATGTTATTGGATGAATGTTCAACTTTCAGCCCAACTGCATCATATTCGGCCTAATTTGAATAGACTTCCAATTACATACAAACAAAAG